TGATAGTTTTGTCAATATCTTGAATTTCACTTCAAAATTGTTTGAAAGCTCATGAGTCGTCTCGTGAGCATTTATTTATATATATTTAAAATCCAAAACTCAATTTTGTTTAGGTGAATGAAAGCTCGTCGTGAGCCATGAGCCTTTGTAGCGAGCTTCATGAAAGCCCTAAAAAATCAGGCTCGAGTTCGAGCTCATAGAATCGCTCGAACTGGACTTGTTCCCCTCGTCCGATATTCTTATGGCTAGTTTGGTAATATCCCAAAATGGAAGCACGTGTGTACCGCAACCCATGGAAGAGTAAGAAAAAAAAAAAAAAAAAGTGATTCGTGAAGAATCATTATTTGGATTGAGTAGAATAACATAAAGATTATCAGATCCTATTAGAATAATTTAATTAATCGTCAGGGACTCAGGGGTGTGTAAGTGCATTGTAAATGTATTTAGGTAATAAAAAATTAAAGAGCTAGAGACACAAATTAAATTAAATTGGTGAAAAAAATGATGGTATATATAATGGGCTGCCATGCATGCATGCATAAGGGATATTTCCATGTTCATTGTAAAGAGTCTGTCTCCAATACTTTACTACTTTACCGACATTTGGCTTCTCTTTTATTTTTCATTTTTCTTCCTAAAAAAATGGTAATATAATTATCTAAATTAATTCATTTTAATTACTACTATTGATCATGCCCCCAAATTTCGATTTTGGACCAAGTTTTTTCATTTCAAATCCCGAAATTCTATATTTTTAATTCCAAAGATTCTAATGCGTCCGATTTCTTTTGCTTTTAATCACAAAAAAATAATTAGTTCTCCTTCTTTACAATCAAGAACCTATATATAATTATATATATATATATAATTATATATATATATATATATATATTAAATTATTAATATATTATAATGAAGAACCTATTTATATTGGGCTTGTTTCAGATGAGCCCATATAAATGTTTTGTTTAAGATAAATTGACTTTAAAATTAATGGGCTGAAATCTAGTATTCAGGAACCTTAGTTACATTGTAGGGCCAATATAGCAAAATGTTAATTGTACTTCTACGCTTGCTGCTTCTTTTTTCTTATTCTTCTTAATTAATTAATTAATTAATTTATTTTCATCAAGAAAATAAAAAAATAAAAATAGCCAGCCCATAATGACGTGGCTTAACACACAAACAACCAATACATTACAGCCAATGTATTAACCATCACACTATCCCTCACGTGCCCCACTCAACTCTTCAAAGAATCTCCACATTTAATTTTTTTTCATTCCTAAATTCTTAGAATAAAAATAAAAAATTATTTTCAATAAATTAATAATACCATATACCATATAACATGATTAATTCCCATTCTAATTTCCTCCCCCCAAACCCAACCGCCATAACGAATTTATAAACCCTTAATTTCCTCTCATGGAATCCGTTGGATCAAGCTCCACCCCACCGGACCACCACCACCGCCCTCCTCCGCATCGCCACCGTTTCATCCCCACCCAACCCTTCTCCGACCGCGTCATCCGTGCCGTCCGCCACCGCCTCCGCCTCCTCCACCGCACCGACGACTCCTCACTCTTCTTCGTCCTCGGCGCAACCGGAAACGTCTACACCGTCAACATCTCCGCCGCGCCGTCGTGCACGTGCCCCGACCGCGCCACCCCATGCAAACACATCCTCTTCGTCTTCATTCGAGTACTCGGCCTCCCGCTAGACGATCCCTCCCTGTGGCGGAGGACGCTCCGGCCGTGCCAGCTCCGCCGCCTCCTCAATCTCCCCACCTCCCGGGAAGCCCTCGCCGGCGCCGCCGTCAGGGAGAGGTTTCATCACCTGTTCTTTCAGTCCAGAAGCACCGGCTCGCGGCGGCCGGATGTGGTGGCGGAAATCGGCACCGCCTGCCCGGTTTGCTTGGAGGATTTGGGAAGAGAGGATAAAGTGGTTGCTTGCGGGACTTGCAAGAACGTGATACACGAAACGTGTTTCTTGGCTTGGAAGAAAACCTGCCGGAGAAGGTCCGCCACCTGCGTGCTGTGCCGTGCGCGGTGGCGCAACGGCGGCGATGACCAGGAAAAGTATTTGAATCTGTCGGCTTATGTCAGTGAAGATGATCTGGCGGCGGAGGGGAACGGGCCATGCAGTGATTAATTAATTAATTTAATTTGTAATTTGTTCAGGTGTACTATAAAATATTCATTAAATTGTATAGAAGTTGCTACTAATTTATTTATTTCATTTGTTACTTTCTTCAAAAAATAATTTATTTTCTTTATTTACTTATTATTAAATGGGCAACAATGACTAGGCTAATTGGGCCAATCGGATCAAGAGGTGGGCCCCATTTAATCAGGATACATTAGGGTCCAATTAATATTAATTTCATCAGCCCAATTTTAACTTAATTAAGAATTAATTTTGTTATACGATTTTTTATTGTGAATATATAATTAAAAAATAATAATTGAAAAGTGTAATGACATAATTATCCTTCTGCCATCGTATTCAGATAAACACAAATTGAATTTGTATACTGAACAATCAAAAGCTTTTGCAGTAGCCTTCAATGGAGGAAATGGACAATCCCGAACAAGGCGGCGATATTTCCCGCAAAATCATTTCTATCGCCGCCGGCGAAGCTCATACACTCGCTCTCACTGGTCGGCGCGTGTGTTTTTCTTTTACTGGGTGTACTCTATCATTTACATGAACTAATAGCCTACGTAGTTTACCTTAAATGGGTTTATGCGTATTGTATGTATAGGTGATGGAAAAGTGTATTCTTGGGGGAGAGGAACATTCGGCCGGCTGGGCACCGGTTCGGAGGAAGATTGTCATTTTCCGGTCCGGGTCAACTTCTTTGACTCCGATGATGATGTTGATAGGGAAGAGAAGTTGAAGATTGTTGCGATTGCTGCTGGTTCTTATCACAGTCTTGCTCTTGCAGGTTTATTCCATTGCCTTTTGTTTTAATTTTTCTTGTAGATTAGTGTTTTTTCTATGTTAAAGATTCTGTTGTTTGGATAAAGATTGAATTTTTTTTTTGGGAAATTTCCTTTTATTTCTTGTTATGGTGGCAGATGATGGATCAGTCTGGGGCTGGGGTTACAACATCTGTATCCTTTTATGAACTTGTGTGTGTGTGTGAGAGAGAGAGAGTGTGTGTGTGTGTGTGTGTTTTCGAAGAACTTCCTCACAAGATAAAGGTGATCCTTGACCTTAATATGATGGATGGTCAAATTGGTGTAACTGGAGAAAATAATCTGACTCCTCACTTGTTGGAGGGCTTCTTTGGATTAGGATCGCCAGGTTCTTCGACACGAGATCAAGAAACAAACACCGAAAAACCACTCAAGGTACGAAGCCGACATTTTATTTCAATGTCAAATAAAATATCTCGAGAGCGCTTCATATTTCCATTTCCAGATCGCCTCAGTCGAAGCTGGAGGAATGATGTCGCTTGCAATCGACAGTCTCGGTTCGTTGTGGATGTGGGGTAATTGCCCCCACCCTTCTCAAAACGAGTCGCTCGAGTTCTCACTCATAAGCAGTGCATCTCCGGTTCCTGTCTGGAATTTCCACGGCCACACTGTTGTTAAAGTAGCATGCGGGAACGAACACGTTATCGCGTTAGTCAGTGCTGGAGAAACGCATGAAGGCGGTGACCTAATATGCTACTCTTGGGGTGGTAATACCCACGGTCAACTAGGGTTAGGGCACAAAGAAAACATGACCAATCCGAAGATTATAGAAGCATTTAACCTCGAATCCCGTTTGGAAATCTACGATATAGCATGTGGTGCTTTCCACACTGCTTTATTAGCCAAGAGAAAGAAACCGACCGAATCTTTAGAAAGTCTTTGCTGGACTTTCGGCTTGGGCGATAACGGGCAGCTAGGTCATGGCACGACACAGAGTTTACCATCTCCTGAAATTGTGACAGAGCTGCCAAAGAGAATATTCCTGGTATCGATCGGGTGTGGTTTGTTTCACACAAGTGTTGTCTCGTCTGAAGGAGAAGTGTGGTCTTGGGGTATGGAGAAAGGTCTCGGTTTATGCCCCGATGCTAGGTTTACTGGACCTGATGCAGGGGATGCTCTCTCCCCGATATTGATTCCTCGTAATGGATTGGTTGACCGGAAGTTTCCGGAACCTTTGGAGGTTGCTTGTGGTGGGGCCCACACGGTTCTTGTTGGCGACGGTGGGTTTAGGGTTTGGTCTTGGGGCAGAGGAAGGAGTGGGGTCCTCGGAAATCGTGGGACCCACGATTGCTATTCGCCGGCTTTAGTGTCTTGGCCATTATCGAATAATTCGGTGGACAATGAGTATATTGAAGAAAAAAATAGTCTAGAGAATTTGGAATCGGAGAAAAGATTCTCCGAGGTAATGGCGGAGATGAACCTGCTTCGATCGAAATTCTCGGTGATGGAGAGATACGCAAGTGTGCTTCATGGTTCGATTTTTGGGAAGCCTTTCCAAGAGGAGGATATTCCGGTATCTCTTCAAAACTCCGGTACGTTTGATATTGGAAAAGAGTGGGAGAATATGCTGGAATCTTCGGATCAAAGAAAACTTGCTCGTCTAGAAATGTTCTACCGCGATATGCTTGCTGGCGTAAAGGATAAGTTGATGAAGAGAAGGATATACGAGATTGTGCACGAGTGCATAAAATCGAACACCGACAAAACTAGTGAGTAAATTTCATTTCGTGCAGAGTCTGTCTTAGAACTACATTGCTAAAAAGTTTGGATAATCGAAACAAGGTATGCAGATATATTTTCTTTTTTATTTCAAGTAATTACTCTGTATCCGATTGATTTATTCAAATAATCGTATAAATAAGCTTATTTTGGGCAAGAATCCGTACAATAATGACTTTAAAGAAACATGGCAGAAGCTCGACTCTTGGTACCGCTGCCTTTATTACACTGTTACAGATACATTATAAATAATATTTGAGAGAAGACGAATTGAATTATCTCTTGCACACCACACCACGGCCATCGAGCCCACTCGCGCAGTTCAAATTCGCGTACTGGAAACTGTTTGTAGAATTATTCGACTGTGCCCCCTCGAATTTGGCAACGGCACAATCCGTGGAGAAGAGACTGGAAGAAGCAAATTCCCTCCTCCCTCCCAAAACAGGCATCTCGACTCCCATCTTCACTCTACTCACGTAGCTGCTCGCGTACGTTTGACCCAAAACCCCGTTCACGCTATCGGTCAACGAGAAAAACTTGAAGCCCAAATCGAGATGCGCGAAGCAGTCTTCCTCCGTAATCCCATACTTGTGAATCCTGGAGTCTTTCTCGGTTATAGGTACAACCGCCGCTTTAATCTTGAAATTGCCTTCGACTTCAATCACCACTTCGTTAGTGTCGCGTGTTCTTGTCATTGTTGTTGTTGTTCCCTGTGCAGATTCCGCCGCCTGCCATGTGGCACCTTCTGATTCGTCGAGGGAGATGGATTCTCCGTCGTAGGAGAGATCCAATCGGTCGATGCCGTTTTGCCAGGTGGCGGTCTTTTTGGCGGCGACAGAGATTCGATGGGTCCCGAAGAGGATTCCGAGAGACTGTACCCAAGTGAAGTCACGCCCCATGTTCTCGTTTCTCTTTCCGATGAAGTGGGCGTTAATGTGGAGGTTTTTGTCGGAGACTATGCAAAAGTCTTTCTCCTTTTTTCCGTGGAAGTAGAAAGTGATTCCGTCTGCGCCGACGAATCTTGGATCTTGGCAAACTGCTCCGGGTTTGTTGCACTCTGTTTTTTCAACACAGTTGAGTGAGAAAAAATAATAATTATATAAAAAAAAAAGATTTACGAATTTCAACAAAAAAGAAAGATAGAAAAGGGGGTTGTGATTGAGCAAATTACTTACCGCAGACGGGGCTGCAGCTGACACAATCAACCTCGCATTGATCGGGACAAGAAACGGGGCAGCGGTGCTCCTGCAAGAAACAGTTGGGGAAGTTCTTGTTTTTGCAGCGGACTCTTTTTCCTCCGGCAGCTTCCGAACTATCGGGTGGAGGGCTAGGTGTAACCACAACCACCGCTGGAGGAGGAGGAGGAGAAGCACTAGGAGTAACCACCACCACTGGCGGAGGAGGTGGAGGAGAAAGGCTAGGAGTAACCACCACCGCCGGAGGAGGAGGAGGGCTAGGAGTAACCACCGTCGGAGGAGGAGGAGAGTTAGGAGTGACCACCACCGCCGGAGGAGGAGGAGGGGCGTTACTCGGGGTGGGAGGGAGTAGTGCACAAATGGGCTGGCAAGAAGGACAATCAACGACACAAGTCCTCGGACAAGTGGAGGGGCAAATGAAATCCTTGTTACAAGTTTGTCTGAAGTTTCTATCTCTACACCTCACCCTACGGGGCGGAGGTGGTGGAGGAGGTGGGGGCGGTGGCGGAGGAGTGCAGACAGGCAGGCAAGATTTGCAGTCGACGACACAGTCGCGGTGGCAAGCGTCGGGGCATAAAAGTTGCTTGTGGTAACAGAGAGGGAACTTCTTGTCCCTACATTTCACCTTCTTCGGCTTACGAGGCTGCGCCTCGGCCAAAGCCACTGTAAGAAGAAGAACAAGAATAACTGATAAAAACCGACGAACCATGATTGATGTATATTATGCTGTGTTATTATGTGAATCTCGGGTTGTTGTTTTCGTTGATAGTGGATGGTCTTTTTTTATAGAGGTTCGAAAAGGTTAACGTAACCCTAAATCGAGGGTTTAGCCGGTTTGACATTACTAGTGATTTGTATCTCAAGTGTTCTTTCTTCTTTTTTAAATTATTATGTTAAGAGAGGTTTTCATGGGGAGTATGGTTTCAGAAATGTCAAGGTCAGCTCTCATGGTTATGTTTTATTTGCACGTTATTTGATATTAATAATAATACTGTAATAACAAGTTTTGTTCTGTTCTGGTCAAGTACTGAGAATTGTTTCCTTCGTGTAATGTTGGTAATAAGATGACATTCAGAACAAGAAAAGGGTGATTATTTATATTGCTTGATTGATAACTCGCTCCACGCCTACATTGACTCACTTGATGCCCGAAAAACATAGGACAAATCAATTTTGTTTAAATTTGAAAACCATTGTCGACTCAACTTTTTTGGGTCGGTTGATTGTTGGCAACCGAATATTTGGTTTCGAAATGGATTGGTTGATGAGAATATCCGCCACCAGTTAATATTATTATTTGAGAACGTTTTAAATTAGAAATAAAATATACGAGTTAAGGTGAAATATAACATCATATAATTAAATAATTTGAAGGTCAATTCCTTTCAAATGAATCAATATTTTGGGAAAATGGGCAGGCATAACCTCTACCCCAGGTGTCATGAAAAGTAAAATTCAGAGTGAAGTAACAAAGAGATTAAAAAAAGTAAAAAATTGGTTAATTTTATTTTTTTATTTAATTCATTTATGTATAGGTTAGGCCTAGGGGTGAAGTGCAGATCCAAATTATTTTTTAAATTTTACTGAATATTGAATGTAGAGTTTCTCTTCTCAGCATCTTCACAGGTTGAAATGCACTTCAGATTCATCAGAAAAACAAAACAAAAAAAAATATTCTAAGACAACATATTTTCATGTTCATAAGAGGTTTGCAAAGTCAACATGGCAAAGTAATCCCGATTGTCAAGAACAAGAAACACTAATTACCAATCGAAAAATCTAATTACTGCAAAAGATACCGGGTAATAATACTCTTCAACTACGTTCATCAATCAATCCACCAGCCTTGAGAGAAATCCCTGCGCCACAACATCAGATCATAGTTTCAGATGTATGTTGATCACTTTAACTTCCAACAAATTCACCTCATCATCTAGAAAAATTCCCAAGAAGACAAAGAAACACAGTTTCAAATATAAGTAGACCCGAACAAAAACACGTTTTACCTAAAGAATAGTAGAGCATGTTATTAATATATCATGGTGGGAAATCAGATGTTTCCGATTCTTGCATTTGCTTTACAAGAACTCGGATTGCCCTATAATGACAATCAGTCGCAATGTTATTTATTCCGTCCACTTACGAATGATTCTATTATGTATCTAGACGTTATTAACTTCTAATATAAAGTAGCGCTCGAGTCTTCCATGACCAGAGAGCAGAAAAACGTATACTTCTCGTTATGGTATTTATATCTTAGTCTACAGATCCATTTTCGATAGCTAATAAGTAATAACCCGACATACTGTAGAAACATTAATACAGTGAGCATGCAACAAGAAAGAGGACTACATAAGCCATTCTTGAATTTAATTCTTATATATATAGTTATATAAATTGATAGGATTCTTCTATTTCTTTTTACAGTTTAGCTAATATGGATGGTGGAGTATATTCGTGCAGAAACTCCAACTCTTTCGATTTTCTACAACTCTAATATTTCCGACCGCAGCTCACTCGAATTACTAAACAGATAGACAATTAACAAAACTAGGCGAATAGGTTCCAATCAAGGGCAACGAGACTGAAAATCAAACAAAACGAGATATAATAATCGTACAAAGCTGATGATTAAAATCAAAGCACATCAAGAGGAGTTACTAGCAAGACAGATAAACACATATATAACTTCAACCAGAGATAAGAAAACTCGAATAATAAACCTAGATAATCATAATCAGAAACAACTCACCTATCTGAAACTGACTGTTTACTGCTGTTGGTTCTGAGGTGGAGGTGGCATTCCTGGTCTAGGTGGACCAAATAAGTGAGCCTGTCCACCGGGAGGAGGTGGCGGCGGCATACCAGGTCTTGGTGGCTGCTGTCCAGGCGGACCACCTTGCATACCTGGCCACTGCGGTGCACCAGGCGGTGGTGGACCCCTCATCATCTGCGGCCTCTGTCCAAACTGAGGTGGAGGAGCAAACCCCCCAGGTGGAGGCATACCGGGCCTAAACTGCGGCGGCGGAGGCATCGGCATTCCAGGTCTCGGCTGAAACCCTCCCGGCGGCGGCGCCATATTCGGCGGCCTCACCACCGGCGGCTGCGGAGGGTAGGAAATAGGCGGACCGGAGATCTGAGGAGGGCGAGAAATCTGGGGCTGCATCATACCAGGTGCGGGCCCACCAACGCCGCGAACGGGGCCGGAGAGGCCGGGTTGGGCGTGGGTGAGCGGTCCAGTAACGACGCCTCGGCCGGCGGCACGGCCGATTCCGGGACCGGGGACGGCGTTAGCGGAGGTAGGTTTGAGGCGTGAATCGTCGGGGGGAGGTGGGCCCTCGACGGTGAGGGAAATGACCTCTTCGCCCCTGAGGAGGACGAGGCCGAGGGTGCGGCGGTCTTCGCGTTCTTCCTTGGAACCTTTCGTCGGAGGTAGCTTCCGGAACTCTTCGCAGTCGCCGAGGACGAGATTCATGTGGCGGTCGAAGGCCATGAATTTTCCGATGAGCTGACGGCCGTCTTGGATTGTTACCCTCATCCGGTAATTGATGTATTGAAGCATCTTCGAACTCTTCGACATCGACATTTTCGCAAAGAACAGAGATTTGCTGCCTCTCTCTGCAATTTTTTTGATTTCTGAGGAGCGGGGAAAAGGGGGAGGAACTAGGGTTTTATCAAACCCACTTCGTTCATTTTGTTTTAGTATTTTACTAAAATATTTATTAGGGTAAATTACAAACACCCCCTGAGGTATGGTCAAATTACAAAAACCCCCCTCTTGTTTGGATAATTACATCTACCCCCTAAACTATGATTTTTTCTTACACCTCCACCCTTATGGTGCCAAATTCAACATAATTATCTAGAATTCGTGGAATGTGCTCTAGTTTGTACTCGTTTTGTGTAAAAATACAGTTTCCGATGCACCACAAACTGATATATACAAGCTAAAAATCACATATTATGATCATCTTGCTTCATAATGTAGTGTTTGAATGGGATAAAACGGGTACAAAAGTGACAATATTTCATATAATTTCGAAGATTCCACTAAATTTGAGGAGTTGAGGGGTGGTTGTAATTATCCAAATAAGAGGGGTGTTTTTGTAATTTGACCATACCTCAGGGGTGTTTGTAATTTACCCTATTTATTATTGATAATAAAATTATAATCAAATATATGTAAATGAAGATTTATTTATTTATTCATTTATTTATTTTGTATATTTCAATTAAATTTACCATCATACTAAGGTTTGAGGTTTATATATTTTTTGAAAAATGATTTAACTGTAATGCAATGTATATATATTATATATTATTACAATTAAAAAGGTTCGAATACGGGCATGATTTGAACGATAACCTTCGACTCTAGTAGTTGAGAGTCGAGACTAAATACCAACTCTCCGAAACACAAAGACAAATCCAAGTCAGTAACACTGTAAGGTACTTGCTGTAAATAACAAAGTTCATACATGATAGATCAATCTCCCTACATTAACAAACAAACTCAAAACACAATAAAGAATAAATATGAACAAAAAAAAAACTAAGACTAGAAATATATCAATCAAATTAAAATTATATAGATGAATAGAACAAATAATAACACCGATACCTTCCTCGTAAATAAAAAGCCTTTCGAAAATTAAGCCTTAAAAAAATCTCTCAACTGTACAACAACTCGAGCAAACCTATGCCTCCCCAAAGTGGCTGCATCACCTTTCAGTAACTACAGTTTCTTGGGCAAGTTATAAGTCTTCTTAAGAAACTTTGTAGCAGTTTCATCATTCCTGTAACACAGAACTCTCAATAACGTGTTCGGTTCGTTCGGGTCCCACTGCCCAGATGTTGGAGGCAGAGGAAGTCGAGCCTTAGCAGACGAACCGTAAGTCTCCAAAGTCAACCGCCTAAACCTCTCGATTAGTGCCTCACTCTCCATTCGAAGAAGTGGAAGTACTTCTCTTGCAGTGGTCGAGAACTTGTCTATTACGTCGTCAGGCAATCCATCCCCATTGGCCCAGAAAAGATCCTTAAGTGACTTGAAATCATCCTCTATCATACTTGAGTCCTGTTTGGAGAAGGCCCGTGTGGGCCCACCTGCAAGCAAGACCAGGAAAAACCCGTCGAAGGAAGCTCTCATTACATCGGCTATAAGACGTGTGCGAACTCTTTCGTGGACCGTGTCTGCGACTATCGTGAGATTCTTTTCGAGTTCTTGGAGAAAAGGCTCGATTCTTGAAGAAGAAAGTTCGCCGACGTAGAGATAATCCCACAAGACGTGGCTTAGATCTTGGAAGACGATTTTGTATGCAACACCCTCGGATAACTGTTGGACAGCTTCGATGCAAGTGGCTGGAGTGATTTCGAAGGTTTTACCGACCCCATTTGAGAAGTCTTCTACATGGGCTGATTCGCAGTTTCTCAGAAGGGTGATTATTCTCTTTTCAAGAACTTCTAATTCCATACGTATTTTATGCAATGTGTTTATGCGTACACATAGCTGTGGTACCGTATTAGAGCTATCTCCGTTGACTGTAGCAACCTGAGGGTTCCTTTTCTGAGAGGCCACTGCCTTCTCTTTCTTCTTCCACTGAAATTTTGTTCCTGTGGTACATCTGGTTAATGCTGGCATTGTGGGAATGTAGATGCTTCTTGATCCTGAATATGAGAAAAGCAAATTGTTAATTCTTAAGGTTACTCGAATTTTGGGGTATGATTTTATTTTTTATTTCTTATATCTTGAGCTCGGGAATATTACCACAGCCAGATTTTGCTTTAGTTGCATAGTATTGAAGACATTTATCTAGGCCAGTCACTAAATCGGGAAGTAACGCAGGATGCATTGGTATTGGCAGCAGAAAGAATGCCTCCAAGGTCTCGTCAACTATTCGTAAAACCTCCACAGCTGAAGGAGCACATCCCTCTTGATTAGCTCGTGGATTCCAAACCTAGCAATTGCAGAAAAAGAAAGGATTAGATTTGATACCTAAGAAATGAAATCCAAATGCAGCAGCTTCATGCTAATTATTTTTACAGTATAATATGTAAGAAAATCGGAGTTACCTCTTGCTGGAGATTCCTGTCAACCCATTCTTTCAGCCTGTCTATTCTTGTCTTTATCCATAATTTAACCATATTAGCAATCACACCTTCGGCTTCATAAGGAGGCATCTCACGTATAATGGCCTTCCCACCATCATCACTATCCACAGAATCTTCAACAGCAATTTGAACGAGATCTTTTTCCAATTTATCAGCGGCTCTTAATATTTGCACAGCATCCGGTGTCAATTCTGCAATGCCTGAAATATATTGCTTCAGTTCATTCCCATAGCAAGCGTGCAGAGTGGCAACAGCAACTCCTGCAGCGAAGGGGTGCCATATCTTCAATATAGGACTAAACGTGTCCTTCTCTTTTATTGCCAGCTCACCAACATCCTTAGCCAGGATAGCAAGCACAGGAAGAGGGTTCGGCTGGTTTCTCGATGCTCTTCTGCTCGAATCAGCCTTTTCCATTCTCTGCAAGAGAGAATTGCTTTATCAAAAGAGGTCGAATTAAGTAAATGATTAGTGCTTAATAATTACTAATCGTATCTTTTAACTTACCTGAGCAAATGCAGTGCGGAGTGATGACCTAATGTAAGTGTCGATCCTGCTAAGCGCCACATCAACTTCGTTTTTTCTTCTTCGACGGTACTCATTCGATATGTCTTCAACTAAGATCTTAGCAGCTAATACCCCAACAGAAACAATGCTTTCCATCAAGTCAATATTTCCACTGTCAAATGTTTCGTGGTAAGCCAATAGTCTTTTCTCGGCCCAACCCATCATGGCAGTTAGTGTAGAACTCAAAACCGTGGAGTAAATCGAATCTTTGGTTACTTTTGCATCTTTGGCAACTTCAGCGAGTTGACTATCGGCAGCACGTAATAGATCGTTTTCAACTTGCCCAGTAGCAACATATCGGTTGAATAGAACCCACGTAAAGCATAGGTTGTGTAGTGTTTGATTCAGACCGAGGACTCCCCATGTTTTCTTTACAAGTTCCATGATCTCGTCAACTTCCTCTACAATAGCAGTCTCGTCATTAACATCAAAGCAAGCTTCTAGAAGGGTTTCATATAGACGGAGATTCAAGGGGAGACCATCTGCCCAGTGGCATTCAAAGGGAGCTCCGTCGACTGTCCTGCTGGCAAGTGCTATTACTGTAGTACGAAGGACTTGCATGGATTCGTTGTTTCTACCAGTTTCTATTGGCCGATCCAATGCTGCATGGATAATTTGGCGCAGTCGCTGAGCGGCAGTATTAGCCTTTTCCAGTGGCGTGTGAGGGTGGAGAAGGAGACCAGCCTCGAGCATTCTGAGGTTTCTCTTCTGCCATGCTTCGTACTCTTGTTGATCAGTGAAATCCGAGGCTTTGAATTGCTGTAATAGCTCGAGTGGAAGAACTGTCAACTCTGTCCTTCTCCCAACCTACACAACCAAGCAAATTAGATTGAATCTTTATTTCAGTACCTATATTGCTTATGTCCCTAGGTTTCACAAGATTGTACGTAAATAACATCCATCAAGTTAAAATTATCAGACGAACTCAAAAATAGCATACATACTTAAGTAACATAATTTTTTGAAATTTCTAGATCAATAATAAAATGTTAAAACATTGACAGGTCTTCCACAGAGTTGAAGGTATATATATCATTTATCAATAACAAGACGGCAACAAGAGTCCACATCTGAAAAGTCAGCAGTCATGCGAATATTTAACATATATGTCGCTGTTAAAAAGCAACCAAAATTTTTATATCTATTTTTTCGTTCTAATAAAAAACGCAGAAGAGAAAGATAATTTGCCATGGATTCCAACTCAATTTAAGTTAAGAATAACAATCTGATAAGCTCCACAGAAAGAAACAGAGATTTTTTTTTTGGCTTTTTCGGTTGTATACGAAACACATGCCACACCCGTATTCAGTAGAACTTCTCAGTTTCTAGTAAAATTAAGTTTTTTCAGGAAATTAAATAATACACTAGCTTCAAAATCCAATTTGATGTTCCTACCAGAAATGCAAACTAAACATTAATGGATAAACAACAAAACAATGGGACAGACAACAAAATTCTCAAATAAATATTGAAACAGTTATAAAACAAAAAAGAAATGAATGCTAGATCTTAAGATGATCAGATCACAAAGTTCCCCAATTTTCACTCATTAAAGCTTAAAATCCCCTAAATCACTCACAAGAAAACGAAATTCTTCATCAATGATCGAAATCTAGGAGTTAATCGCAATATGAACATTAAGAAAATCAAACACACATATAAAAAAGCTCAGCCAATTCATTTTATTTTTTGTCATTTTTACCCTCCAAAAAGCAGATTATAACCTGTCCAGCAGAAATCCTCAGCAAACCCCTGCGAATCCTCGAATCTGCGGCCTCAGAAACCCTCATCTGGACTCTCATGAGCTCTCCTATAGTCACCGGCTTCTTCAATTTCCCCCCAGGGGTCGAATTATGCGAATCGGAACTCTTTTTGGAACTGCTGGATCTCATCCCCAAGGCCTTCTTCATCTTGGATGCCGCCGCCGAGGTCAATGACCTCTGCAGATTAGCAGTGGAATTGCCGTTGGTGGTACTGTTGCTGGGTGAATTACTGCTATTACTGCTGGGAATGTACGTCAGGGGTTTGGAGGCGGAGGAGCGGTTGGCGGAGAGGAAGATCTCGTAGGCGGAAGAACGAATGTCGGAATCGGAGAGAGTTGAGGTGAGGTCGCCGAAAGGGGACGGGAGTGGGGATAAAGCGGTGGAGTTGGCGGCAGGCATGAAGCGGGAGGTAGCGGAAGAAGGAGATGCGGCGGCGGCGGCCGCCGCGGTGGAGGATGAGGAAGAGAATGAGAAAGAGTCTCTCTTGGAGAGACCGAGGGCTCGGTCTCGGAAGAGGGACGCCATTGCTGCTACTCTGTGTGTAGAGAGAGAGAGTAGAGAGAGAAGATGAGTCAGAAAAAAGTAAAACCAGAGAGGAAAAAGAAGGGCTCTCTCTCTCTCTCTAGCTTCTAAATTAGATTTATTTCCTTCTTTCAATATATGTATTAATTAATGCCTATTGATTTTGTTAATACTTAATTTCAATAATCAGATTTACCAATTTCTATTTTTTTTAATTTTTTTTTTTTTGAAAATACTAATTTAATTTAGTATTTGGTAAGTGCTTCATTGGAATAAAGTGAATTCCAATTTTGACTTGGTCCACTAATTTTGATTGACAAATATAATGGTTGAAATAATTAATGCGCAAATTGTTCCGATTCAGTATCTAAGTTGTAACACAAAATTTGACTACAAAATGATACCGGTGACCTATCATTTTCAAGTGACATATCACATACACAATTTAACATATATTATTGAATTAAGTAAATACCTTTTTATATATATATATATATATATATATATATTAAACATAAGAAATAATATTGAATTAAGTAAATTATAATAGGCTGGAAATATCAACATTTGCAAGTTGGGCATGAAAGGTATGAACAAAGCTGGAATACATAAGACATTGGTTGGATTTTGGTTGGTAATATTTCAAATGTTAGGGGCCTATATTTAATTATTTTTTTATTTAATTTTTATGCTTTATTATTGAAGGGGGACCACTAACAATTTCAATTCCTTAATTTCACACACACATACACACACTCAGTGTGTGTGCAAAGAGAAATACTTAAAAAGAATTAAAATGAGAATAAAGAAACAAAAGCTTGACAGTGGCAGAAAATCTTGGCATGTTCTTATTGCATATGGGAAATTAATATAAATCATTTGTTTTTCCTTATTTTAATTGGATTTATTTAAATTATAGTGAAGTGTGAACAAATAAATTTTAGTTATCCCCTTTTATTTTATACTAGTATAAAATAAATAATATAATATAAATTTCAGCACTACGTTGCCACAAGAGAATAGTCAGTCAACACTTGTATTATTCTATTGGGCCTCATTTGTATCACCATTTATTTGATCCAACAAGGCCCAAAATAATTTAATTATGTTTCAAGCATTTATCATTTAGTGCAAATTACGGCCACCCCCGATGTAAGATCAAATTACGAAAATACCCATCATGTACAACCATCCCTCAATTATATATTTTCTTATACGTCAATTCTTACTGTATCAAATTTACCTACCGAAAGATGATTTTTTTTTCGTAAAAGAATATATAATTGAAGGGTGGTTGTAATTACCCAAACAAGAGGGGTATTTTTTGTAATTTGACATTAAACAAAGATAGTATATTTTAAGTTGGAAATAATTTATTTTTTTTTCTTCATAAACTTATATTGTCTACACTAATTATTAGAACTAAACTTATATTGTCTACACTAATTATTAGAACTTATGGATGTAGCAATTGCTTAAGGACAGCTGGGCTGTACATGTGACATGCTACTTAATTAATTAATAGTTTGGAAAAATAAGTTCCAACAACACTATAGTATATATACTCCACATGTTCAGCCTCACCTAATATTAGGATTAGTATTAACTAATGGGATTAATTAATTAATAGTTTGGAAAATGAAATTGGGCCAATTTGTAATTTATTGAAACTTTGGGGGGGCTAGAAGAAAGAATCCGTCTGTTGGGCTTGAAAGGTCAAATATGGGCCAGGCTTTTCGAATTATTAGGGGTAGAAAAGCCCACTAGGTTTTGGTAATGCATGCTTGAATCTTTCTGAACAAGCCCATTTATTATCAAGTACATATTTAATTTAAAAAATAATACATAGACAAATATTTATAAATTAATACTATTGAGTCTATTGTAATTAACAAAATTTTATTAATTTATCAAGATAATTATTTATAATATTGTCATCAAGTTGGGATATAAAAATATTTTATTTTCGCTATATTATCAACTTATTAAATATTAATTTATCGAGATTCTGGTGTACTATTACATTAATTCTTAATTAAATTAAAAACTTTAAAATTCACATATTCTTTGAAAAATGAAAGATAAAAAATGAGATCAATACCGAGAGAGAGAGAGAGAGAGGAAGGCCGCCCCTCTCACCCCCTACCCCTACCCCCCCCCCCCCCCCCCCAAAAAAAAGAAAAAAATTATTTTATCCAAACCAAAAACCCAAAACAAAAAATGGGGGATTTTTAATTAAAAGTTTAAAAAAAAAAAAAAGTGAATGAGGTTTTAGAGGGTATTGAGGATAAGAAAAACCCTCCCAATTTCATGTAAGAAGATGTCGTGTTCATCAACAACAATTAGAGCTTTTGGTTCGTTACTCGTCAGATTTTCAAATGGGGTTTCTCTTAAACCCTCCAACTCTCTCTCTCTAAATAGTTAGTCCCTTTCTCTCTCTTCTTTTTCTTTATTCAGAATAGTATTGTAGGTGGGGATTTCTGATCAAAATGTAATTTATTGTGGGGCTGTTGTTTTACGGACAGGTTATTTGAGCAGAAAGCTATCATCTTTAGGTGGGTACTCATCTTCTGGCAAATGGGTTTCATTTGAAAATGGAGTTCATGATAGAAAGATCTCAACTTTCACACCTTTGTGTATGGGTAGGCGATCCTGTAAAATTGCTGGCAGAAAGGTATTTACTTGTCATTTTTTTTTTCAATTTTTTTTTTGGAGCTAAGCTCTTTAGAATGTGGGATTGCTGTCAAATTCAAGATTCTTGATTGAAGTAAAAATGCTAAAATAGCCCTGGTAGCTACAGGGGATTATGGCCCCTGAATCTGGGGTTTCGGTTTTGGTTTCGGTTTCGGTAATGTGCAGGTGCGAATTCATGTATCCCGATTCGGAGGGTCCAATTCATTCTAGAAATGTGTATTGGATATTAACTGCTTCGATTTCTTCGTCTGCTGAAATGAACGGTGGTTATTCTCCAGCGCTGTTTTATAGCGTGGCAGGTGGATTTAAAGTTGCGTTAATTCGGGATGTAAATAGTCTGAAAATGTCGTATGCAGTTTCATCTTGACCAATAATCATATAGAAGCTTCTTTTTCACCAGCTTACAACTCTTCCGAGGGACAAGATAAACTTATCCGATTTTTAGTTTATGTTATTCTCATTAGTAGAACCGGTTTTCTTTACAAGAACAATTCAAACAGAGGCATTGCATGTTATTCATTCTGATTGAATAGGCATTGTAGGTAGCATCGTTGAGTGGATCGAGAGTACAAGACTATGTTTGTCCGATTAGATTCTTTTCATATTGTGTGTTCTTGATACACGAGACTTTAGTTTCTCATAGTCTAGATCACTTCTTTTGATGCAGACTGCTCAGGATGCTAAGAAAACAAAGCTGTACGCTAGATTTGGGAAGGAAGTCGTATCTGCGTAAGTTAGTCGAAAAATTTTGGAAACCCTTTTTCGTTCTGCAAAACCACACAGCTTTTGATGCCTTCATGTTAATCGTTCTGGGTTAATTTTCACTTGGATCATATTTTTCCGTATATAATGATCCAGTGTCAAGAAAGGTGGTCCGAGTCCTGTATCTAATACAGCTTTGGCCGCTCTATTCGAGAAAGCAAAGGAGCTCGATATCCCAAGGGATATTATTGACCGCAATATCAAACGAGCTTCAGAAAAGGATCAAGAAGCCTACATCGAGAAATTCTACGAGGTCGGGCTTTTTTATTTTTTTCAAATGTTGTAAACATTTCATAAATGAAACATTATGTGTAATTTTTGCAGGTGTATGGCTACGGTGGAGCAGGAATGGTGGTTCAAGTGCTAACGGATAAAGTGAATAGATCTGTGGCTCGTGTTAGAGAAGTTGTGAGGGACTACGGTGGGAAAATGGCGGATTCTGGATCGATGATGTTCAAATTTAAACGTGCTCGTGTTTTAAATATAAAGTCCAAAGATGCCGACAAAGATCAGCTTCTTGCCATTGCTTTAGATTCTGGTGCTGATGATGTCATCGAGCCCTCATCCGATGAAGATGATGCCGAAGAAGATTCTGAGAGGTAAAAAGAGATCCGTTTCACCGCATGAATTTTGTCGGAAATCTCGTGAAATTATCGTAATTATGTAGTAAAGTTTCATGGTTTTTGAATCAGTTACTATAAAATAGTAAGTTCGATGGAAAACTACACCGCCATATTGACAAGACTCAAAGAGGAAGGAATCACATTTGAAACCGACAACGGGTTCGAGCTTGTTCCCTTAACACCCGTTGAGGTACGCCTTAAGAGATAAAATTCCATTTTTTTTTTTTCTTTTTTTTTTTTAACGATCGCATATTGTAAACTTACGGTCTGAATTGCAGGTTGATGACGAGGCAATGGATTTGAACAAGGAGATGATGGCGAAACTACTCGAGCTAGACGATGTGGATGCAGTATATACAGATCAGAAATGATTTCGCCACTTCAATTTTGAAACGGAGGTTTTTTGGCCGTTGGATTTCATACGCTTACAAGGTAATCTTGAATTCACTCATGGGAGAATTAGTATCTCGTCGCAGAGAAAAAAAAAAGAAAGAAATAGAGCAAAATTTTAGATAGCACAGTCAATAACTTTTCCGATACGCATTATACCGTTTATTGTCGAACAAGAGCACGAAAAATAAAATTGCCTATTTGTATCAAGTTACGGACAAATCATAGTTTCATCAACTCTCATTGATTCAAACATTGATTTCGTGTCTGATTTTCTCTCTCTTTCGTTTTTTTTGCGACTGGAAATATTTTTTAAACAAGAAAGCTGCAAATTACACAAACAAGATACCTATCGGAGCATAGACTATATATATATATATATGTATATAATTATATATCTAATACCCCTATACGACATCCTAGTACATTCGAAGATACGTCGTATCTTCGGTCTTCTTCACAAGACACAATTTTTACGTAGTAAATTACAATGGGTTGTCTGTACGGTAAATCGATCTATGTCTTTGGAACCCAACATCCATGCAGGCCGTAAGGAAGACCGTAAGGGAACTTAGCTCTGGCAATTTCTTGAAAAGTAGATCCGTCTAACAACAACGCGTATCCTTCCCCGTTTTTGTCGCTGATCATCGAAATCACGACACCTGTCCATTGTTTATTACATTACATATTTAGTAAACAGTTATACATATGTATGTACGTATGTATGTATATTTTTGAAGAGCTTACCATCATCTTCTTCTGTAGCACCTGGGCGAGCCACGAAGAAGGGCTCGGATGGTATCGAGCCCTCGTCCACCCAATTCTTTGCCGTTTTGTTCATCAGATCAATCTGATGTAATGATTAATTAAAACATATATAAATAAGTGATTAATGAATTAATTGTACTGTGTTTTGGGTGTATCTATATGTGTATATATACCTTAGTGAGGGTGTTAGGGAAATTGCAAGGTCTTTGAGCACCACATGCATAAGTGTATCTATATTTCTTGCCCAGAAAATTAGGGTTTATGCTGCACATATCCATGCCTTTACCATGTTCATTTGGGTCCAAAGCTGCTTCCAAACTCCCATATGAGCTCCCATCCATCGGAATCCTGAATCTTCCGACCCTGTATTTTTACGAATAAAGTGACGATTCTTGAAAAAAAAGAAATCTTTAATACTTATACATTATTGAAACGGGTTTTTTTCGAAAGTGGTATATATACCTTGCATCTGGTAGCACATCTTCACCGGAGAATGACCGGAGATTTTGGAGGGTGAGATTCTGCAAGATGGTGGTGTCGGCGTTGTGTTCGCAACAGTCGGCAATAATGGCCGTCACCCTTCCTTCTTCGTCTTTCTCCTCGTACGCGTTGATGAAATGGAACGTCACGTATAGCGGAACCTCAACACTTGCCACCTTTATTTATTTTTTTATTATTATTAAATTGAAGAAAAAAAAAATTAACATTTTTTTTCCATAATTGTGACAATATATTTAGACAAAGAAAAAATATACTTACAACATTGCCACTAGCTTTGCACATAACATGCATGTAAGCTTTGGACTCAGGGTGCCATTGGAACTTATACAAAGGCGTGGGCTCCGCCTTGAGCAAATTTCCGGCACAATACCTAAGCGGCATCTCCGGCACCACCACGTAATGCTCAGTCGCCGGAAAAGAGTGGACCCAACCCGGAGAGGGCCCGCCTCGGCAATTGACCCGACCGATCACTTTCCTCTCGTTCGACCCGGGTTCCATCCTCACAACAACATAACCCGGGTTTATCAGATCGGGTAGCAAAGTCAAGAACTCACTATCCGTCACAATCGGGTGGGCCGAGTGGATCAACCCGCCCAAATTGTCACTATACTCGAACTTCCCTATCGTATCCAAGTTATTCGGGTCGATCACAATCGACCCTTTTATTGTTTCTGTAAGACAGACGACCCGCCCGTCGCCCAGTTTGACCACGCCAGTGTTTGCGTTGTCGGTCAATGATGCGCCGGAGAATAGCTTGGCTATGTCTCCGATGTAGGACAAGAAACTGTCTGTTTTCGGGACTTCGGAGAATTCTCGATAGCAGAGTTTCTTGTTTTCTATGGAGGCTTTGTATGCGTCGGATTCGATCTGGCGGTGGGCCATTGCTAGGCGGCCGTTTTCGAAGTGGAGGCGGACTAGGGTGGCGTAGCCGTCGAAGAGGTGGCGGAAGTTGTAGTCTCCGATGTTCCATAGGCCCGGCCCGTTCCTTAGGTATGTTCCATTCTGCATGGCAAATAAAAAAAAAAAAAAAACATTAATGCTAATTCATATATAATTATATAAAATAAAATTCAAATAAAATAAAATAAATAAATAATTACCAGCCAAAGTGGGATTTCTCCTTGAACAAGAAGATCTCCTTGCCATCTTTCTTGTTTTACACTTGTCCAAGCAACATTTTTTTTAATGTTTTCATCGTCTTGTTTCGAGGGAATCACGACATTTGAAGGTGGTTTAGTGGCAACGTTCGAGATGGTTAAACCTCGACTTTGGTAATCCGTATTGTAATCGTGTTTTGCTCGATAACGAGTAACGATTTTTCGGGAATAATTGTTGCTGCAGGGTTTGAGGGAGGAAGAAAATGAGAGGGAAGCCATACTTAGATGTATATGATGTTAACTTTGGAGACAAGAAAGAATATTATTGTGTGTTTTTTTGTAGAAATTATGGAGGTTGTGACACTATATTTATAAGAGAATTAATTATGAAGATTTGAATGGTGTTCTGTAATTCTGATTTTTCTATGTTGGATTTAAATTAGTGGGATGGAATCTTGATTGGTGGAATTCCTTTATACTACCAGACATATATAGATTGAGGGCTTATTAATTATTTAATTATAATAATAATAATAATAATAATAATAATAATAATAATAATAATAATAATAATAATAATAATAATAATAATAATAATAATAATAATAATAATAATAATAATAATAATAATAATAATAATAGCTACTGGTGTCGTGTATAATATAGAACAATAGTTCATAATTATTAAACATATCAACATTAATCAATTTATAATTCTCGATATAAATAATCAATTGTAGCATCTGATTTCCCGTTTCATTTGGCGTTGTTATATATGAACACACGAAAATGTTATAAATAAAATCCAATCAATGATAGTAACATCTTTATTTTACTCTAAAGAAAATTTCATCTTATTCTTGTCTATAGTAAAGATTCAATTTTGAATCCGGCTAAGCTCAACTAGGTCGGATAATTATTGACGCAGCAGCAACTACTTTCCGATTCCACCGAAACCATAATATGACCAATTGAATAATATCATATTAAAAAAATAAGATGTACGACTTCAGACGCTACTAATTAACGGTTCGAAAATGTAACGTGATATGACTAAAATGTATCATATTTCATTTCTTAATCAAATAGGCAACCTTAATTGATTGAAATGAATCAAATCAAGCATTAATTAGAATGAAAAATAAATAAAATTTATATAGGGGGTCATAAATATGTATGGCCATTCAAAGTGGTGGAGAGACGTAAAAAATAGTTTTCAATTTAATTCAATGGAATGATAATAGGTGGAGTTGAATATTCATATATACAAAATCATTAATATTGGGATTTAAATCATTTGACGAGGAGAAAAAGCTAGTTAATTTAATTTAATTTATTAAAATATAATAAATATTAAAGAAAAAGCAATAGTAATTGAGTAAATATTGGCGAATTGGGGCCAAATGAATGCAAAATGTAGCATCAAAAATTGATTAGTGTCATTTCAATGTTTCATTGATTCCCATACGTATCACTCAAATTGGAAAAATATTAAATTCCCAATTGTGGCAGACAATATTAGGCATCACCACAATTGGCTATTTTTATATTTGTTATTTCCTCCACCTTCATCATTTTACTCATCATTTACTGCAAAAAAATGTATTACGTAATAATAGAAAAGAAAAGAAAAAAAAAAACAAATTATTAAGTGCATTAAGAGATAATCTTGTCAAAATTGAATATATATTTTCATAATAATGCTTATAACTAGTGTACTAACTCTGAAGTTGGAAATTATTACTATTGCAATTTATTAGTTAGTTCATATTTATACAATTGTATGATATGGTTCATTCTTACTAGGATTTAGATTGGAAAATTTTGCCTCGAGTTTCTTTAGAAATTTTTGTTTGCATAGTTCATCATAGGGGTGTAAATGAGTCGAGCTAGGCTGTTTTGGCGAGCTCGAGCTCGAATCAATTTTAACGAGCTCGAACTTTTCGAATAATCTTTTTGTTAATTGGACTCGAGCTCGAGCTTTTGTTGAACCGACTCAATTCATTTACACCCCTAGACGCTCATCATCCTTATATAATCATATGATGCCATTTCAATGACTTAGTGTTTGATATTCAAATTTTGGCTAGAGGTATCTAATATTGATTATTAGGATTAAAGTCTAGAATTCGAATCTTGTCCGTTACTTTACTTTTTTTTTATTTTTTTTTATATAAAATTTGAATTTATGAAGAAAAAACCTCTGGTTAGGAGGGGTTTTTATTAAAACTTTTTGTTTGCATTGTACTATTTGGAGTATCTATATGTACGTTTATATTAGAAAAAGTTAAAAAAAAAAAAAAAAAAATACTAGTGTTTGCAAAAACTATTGCTAATATATATAGATATACTAATAATAATTAATTTACTAATAATAATTAATAATAATTTAGAGGTTGATTTTGGAAGTGTGGGGCAAACACTAATTGCACTAACGTGTAACTTTTGCAACTTGTTAAATTATTAGTGACAGGGTCAACATGGATTGTCTCCTTTAATTACACATTCTTACGTCACATTATATTTTGTCCAATCCACCTAATTTCGAGAAATAATAAAAAAAAAGTGTCAGGATATTTAACCCCCACTAATATAATATAATAATGCATTAATATTTGGATTCAATTACTAGTGGAAAGAGAATCAAATGAAAGAGCTAAACCAATAGCTAATCTATATAATATATAAAAGTTGAATTGCACACCTAATTGATTGACATTTGGCAATTTCAATTGGTGACAAGTCCTCAATTTTATCCCAAGTGGCGAATTGATTGGTGGAAATAAATCATAAAAAAACATGTCATCATTTTCCAAAAATTAAAGATAATTAAATTTATTTAATTATTTTATTAATATATTTATATCCAACCATTTATAAAATGCTCTAAATATATCAACTTTGTTGGAAACTCTAAATAAATTTATTTTTTTAATTTAATTTTATAATTAATTTAATTTAATTTAGTTAAATTTAATTTAAAATCTTCCCTTATTATAATTGCTTAATTGGTGGTATTACAGAAATTTTGTATTTTAATTCATAAACTTGGATTTATATTAACAAAATATTGCAGAATAAATTATTTGATATGGTACATTTTACATGAACATGACCAGAGAATATGTTTTTTTTAACTAATTTAATATTATATATTGATATTATATGTAAAAACAAAAAAGATAAATGTTCGAATTTACAATATTGCGAAAATCGACACTATGTGTTTCTACCATGTGTAGAGTAATATACTCCCCATTATTTACCATATTAGAAATTATACTACATGAATTTCATGTTATTGTTTAATCGGTTATTTTTTCTTCACCGAATATAGTGACAATAAATTTTACGATTGATTTAGCTTTTTGAATTATATACTAATTAAAATAAAAACTTTATCATGATTATTCTAATAACTTGAATAACGTAAGTTAAGTTTAATCAATTGATAAAAAAAACGAATTGATTTTATATATTTCAAAATATAACAATGTTATTCTAAATCTTTGGTATTAAATTACTTTATTCACTCTATTTCAAACCAAACATTAAGAATATCATATCTTTTGGTTAAAATGTATAATGATCGTATATACTATATATTCTATATATTTAGAATATCAGCTAATTTTTATTTTTCCATTTTTTATTTATATAAGCATTTTATAGTGACTTTTGTTTACTTGAAATTTGATCTATTTTCAATAGCATCAGTCTTTATGTTTGTTTTTAACATATGGTCATACCTGTAAATAAGTTAATTTAAGTTGTATATTAACAAGGATAACTTATGAAAACCACCTGAACTTAGGCTAAATTAAGAAAAACACTCCCACATATTTGTAATTAGCAAAATCCATTGATGTTTATTTCCGTCTTACATCGACCCCCTTATGGTATGAGTTTTCAAGGAATTTTTTTGTTACGCGGAATATTCCCCGAAAAATGTTGATTATACCCTGCACACGCGACATTTCTTTATGGTATTTTTTAAAGACAAAAATTACCCTCAGGGGACTTTACGCGAAATCTTTATTCTTCCTAAATAAAACTTTCACAAATTTTTATTATGACCATGACCACCACTACCAAAAAACAAGGCTTTAGTGACAGCCGATTTTGTCACAAAAAGCAACAAAATCAGTCACTATAAAGCTTTAGTGACGGCATAGGGACGGAATATGTCTGTCAGAAAACCCCTCGTCACTAATTTAATTAGTGACGGAGATTTTAATTCCGTCACACCGTTTATCACAGAAACGTTCGTCACAAATGAAGGTAATTCCGTCAAAATTACCATATCGAAGACACCTAAAATCTATGACGGATTCCGTCACAAGCAATATTTTTCTGTCAATAATTTGTCACTACCTAACAAAATGTTTTCCCTTAAATTGTGACGGATTCCGTCAAAGTCAAGTTTTTGCAGTCAATAATCCGTCCCTAAACTATGTGACGGATTCCGTCACAAACAGTTTGTGCTGTCAATAACCCGTCCCTAAACTATGTGACGGATTCCGTCACAAATAGTTTGTGTTGTCATGAATCCGTCAATAAGCATGAAAATAATTTTCCTAAAATCTGTGACGGATGCCGTCATAAACAATTCCTGTTGTCAATAATTCATCACCAATGAATGAAATATTTCGTTATATATTTGTGTCACTGAGAGCGTCACAATTAGTCACCAATCCTCTGTCACAAACACTTTGTCACAAATTGTCTGTATCAAAAGAAATGTACAACAAAACCAATAAAATGATCATATAAGTATATTAAGACAAAACCATTATCTCTGTTGTGATATTTCAAAAGTTCTAATGGTAAAAATATACTACAAATGTCGAGCCAAAAATATCTTATAACAAAGACCCAATCTCTAAACTATTGTCCTGTATCACCTCCAACATCCGCAAGCCATGTTATCGTCGTTTATATTTCTCTCCCTCTCATCCATCAACCCCCACTAGTTCATCTTGGACGATCTTTCCAATTTGACAATTCGACAACTTCATACTATATCTGAGTAGCACGTGGTCCCTGCCCAACACTAGTCTCACATTTGCATTTTTACGAATAATCTAAACTGCATCTGACAATGTAACACAAAAAGGTGAAATTTCAAATAAACTAAGTCCAATTTTCTTACATAAAGCAGAACCCCAAGAGAAAGAACACCAAAAGAAAATTACCCCCGATCACATACCGTATACCAGTTACTATAGTTGTTAAGCTTCCGTATTGAATATCCTGCCATAAAAAAATCAACAAAGATC